TCGGAATGAATAATGTAAAACAAAATGACTTCATAGACAATTTGTGTAGATGTTGTCTGATATTTTTTTAGAATAATATCCTTTTGAAAAAATCTCCCTCTCTATCTTATCGATTAATCAGTCATGAATAGACTTTTAATATTTTAACAATGCTGATATTGATAGAATTTTTAATATGCTATATTTCGATACTGCTTGTTGCAAAAACTCTGTCCATATGGCTTAAAACATCAAGAAGCACAAATTTTTCAAACTTCAAAAAACAAACAAGTTGCAAGAACTTTTTTCTAGATACGTTTGCTTTTTGTCTTGTTGTCCTTCTCCGATTCGTTTTAGAAAAATATGCTTGATACAAAATTTTTAGTTCAGATGTTGCTCTTTCTAATAAAAAAACAAGTCTCTCTTGCAACATGTTCCGATATGGACAACTATGACTGAAGATTTCGATATTTACTTTTGTATCTTAGGTTAAAAAAAACAATTACACATTACTATTATTTAGTTAATCGTTATAAAGTATCATACTCGTAGTAATTCAACTATTCGTCATAAGGTTTACACTAAAGAACTAAAAAAAAAGTAGTGGATGATTGATATCTATCTGTTATTGAAAATTGACGATCTCAGCGAACTCTATACGTCATATCGACAACGTCCTACAGTTTATAAAAATGATATGCGGACTGATGAAACATCATTATTAAAATCCTGGATACTGTTTTTCAACCATTTTCGATAAACACTGAACGATACTAGTTTTAGACAGGGAAACATTTTAAAAATTATTCTTTCTGTTTAACAAAATATGTCTAATATTTTGTCAAAAGTTATTCACCGTACACTTTTATATTTTCATTTGTTTTCTTAACGGTTATTTATTAATCCGACTACGAATATTCTAATAGTATCTAGGGTGTGGGTTTGTCTTCTTCTCTTCAGCGGCCACACCCACACCTCACACCCATACCCACACTCGCACCCCACACCCACACCCACCCAAACCAATTCAATTGAAGCTTTTTCGATTCCAGTTATTGAATACCAACCCCATTCAAATCTGATTTCAGCTTTCTGGATTTGAGACTCATTCTATCTCAACTTCGATCAATTCTAGTATTCAATACTGCAATTCAAACCAATTCTAGGGTATGACTTAAAATTGAATTGAAAAACAAATGGAATTGGTATCTTCCTATGTGTAATTGTTTATTTCTCATTACCATAAGCATTACCATGACTGTTTCGGTTTCAATTTCAACTATTGCGTTTAAAGTTAATCAAGTTGGATAAATCCAACAAATGATAAGGTCATACAGAAATATAAGCAAAATAAGAGCACTACTTTCTATTCTTCCTCTTTTTTTCGATTCTCTTGATGACTCTTTTGATTTATAAATGGCTCGTGATTGAATTGCCGAGTTAGTATTTCGCAAACTATTCAACGGTGAGTTGTTATCAGTTTTTTATATGACCTGAACTTTCTACTTTTCTCAAAGTTCGTGCTTTGTGATACTATACTATAAAACAAATATGAATATAAGCTTTTGTGTCCGAAAAATTTCCACTTCATCCCTACCAACACTGATTGTTTTTAATATCAAAGGGAAAATATCAATTGAGATTTCAACGATTTATTTATTTATTAAATAAATATACAGATGTTAAACAAAACAAACAAATTCTTATTAAACTATAGAAAGCAAAGAAGTAGGACTCCTGATTTTAGTCTGCTATTCTACGGTGAGTGAAGATAGTCTTAAGAACTTGATCTGTTTGAATCTTGGCTAAAATAGACAATAGATTATCTTCTGACGTTTTATCATTATAGATTTTTGTTGTTGAGATTGATTGTCGGATTAGTATGATGGTGCAGATTTTTATTTTGTGGATGTTGTTGCTCTTGTGGAGATATTCCGTAGATGTATAAGTTGGTAAACCAAGTGCTGCTCTTATTGCCTTGTTTTGCATTACTTGGAAACATTTTCAAATTTTATCGTTTGCTGTTAGAAATATGGATGAACCATATGTAATAATTGATTGGACAAGGGAGATTTGAACAGGTTTAGCATTGTGGAGTGGTTAGAATGGGGAGTAATCCTCGAGAAAAATTGGAGAAGACCAATTCATAGTGCTACTTTTGTCTCTATTTGTTTTGTGTAGGTTCTCCAGTTGAGTTTGTAGTCGAAGAAGATGCCAAGGTACCGTGCTGATAGTTGAGATTTCACAATTATATGGTCAACTTCAATTTCGACTTTGTTTTTCTATTTTTTTCTTGGGTGAGGATTAAAGTATACCAGTTCGGCTTTGGTGGACTGTATTTTCAGTTTCCATGACTGGCACCATCTTTGAAATTCATTGACTGATGATGTTTGAAGTATTCTATAAAGCAGTATCGTCAGCAAATAGATCATATTCACTATGATCATTCATATCGTTCATGGAATCACTTGTGTAAACTACGTACAATAGTAGTGATAATGATGATCCTTGGGGTATTCCACTCTTTAATATGAATGGTCTTGATAGAACATCTCTATTTCTGTTGAAACTGTTCGATTCGTAAGAAAAGATATAACAAATCGAATGAGGCAATCCGGTAATTGAAGATGGTGCAGCTTGTTAATCAAGCCATCAAACTAAACCGTGTCAAACACTGCCTTGATATCGAAAAAGATGATAGCTGGGAGGGGGAGAAGGGGAGAATGTTAAAAATCCAAAAGTCACTACAATAGAAACCACTTTTTGTCTAGTACATCAGGTTTCACTTATCTGTATCTGTCAAGCTTTGCTGATTTGTTATATGTGTTTAATGTAAATTCTCTTAAGTTTCACTGATCTGTTACTAGTATTTGTATAATATGAGTTATCAAATTGATTCGAAAATGACACTGAAGAAAGTTATGTAGTAGTCGAGAAACATGATCTAATTGTAGAACTTATCTCCATTTTATGTTGTCTATTATCATTTTTTCCAATTAGTCGAGGAATCAGGATTAAGTACTAAATATGAGCTTTTGTTTTTTCATCTTCAATAGTGAAAAAAAGAAAAAGGCGAGGGTTTAGTCGCTTTAAGAGTATTCTGGAAAATTCCAGAGGAACAGCATATCTAATGATTGATGCCGTACATTCAGTAACGAGGGTAGGATTCGACCAGAGCTTTTGAGTCAATATTTTGTCCATATCTAGCATCTGATGAGACTAGAAAAAAATTAAAAGGATAATGGTCCATGGGCTTTCCTTTTCGATTAATGACCATTTTATTGAGTTAATTACCTATGACAGAAAATATTGAGTAAAATCAAACTGCTGAATTTCAATCTGAAATTTTTCCCACATGCAGGTCTTAGGTATTATATGTTAGTCTGCATGTCTCAACTCAAATAAATGTTTCTTTCTATAAATATTGAAATTTTAAAAAAATCAATACTATACTATAAATATCAACAAAATCAACCTTTTGTGGTAATTCAATATTTCGAGAAAGAAGTGTTTGTTCGAGCTGAGACTTTCAGATTAATATACGGTGCTTAAAGCGTGCATGCAAGCAAAGTTTCAGATTGAAATTCAATCGTTTGATTGTACATGATATTCCTTGTCATGGGTGATTAACTCAATAAAATGGTCAATAATCAAAAAGGAAAATCTATGAACCATTATCCTTTTGAGTTTTTTCAGTCTTATCACATTCTATATATAGACAAAATATTGGCCAAAAAACTCTAGATCACTTCGAAACCTGCCCTCATAAATTATGTGATCAGCAGCAAGATAAATAGTCAGTAACATTTCAGAATTCCTGCTGAGGTACGACAGATATTACTAAAAGTCAGCCTTGTTCAGCGAAAACGATCAAGTAACGACACGAAACAAGAGAAATAGTCGTTATAACTAGATCTGAGACAACTTTGACTTATATTAATTAATTGTTTTTCAAAAACTGATCCAGTGACCAGTTGTTTTTTCTTTAAGAAATAGGATTCAAGTCTTAATTCTTTTTCAAAAATTGAGTCTGTTTTCGACCTGTGATAGTAGACACTCATAATTTCAAATGAACAAATAAAAAATATTGTCTAGTTACCAATCGAGAGAAATAGGGTGTGGGTGTCGAAAAGGATATCATACTCAAATCACATTCACATCCACCCATATCCTCTTTTTATTATTATAGATTTCATTTATGAGTGGGTCCAAAGTTCGATATATATATATATATATAATCTATTCTACTAGTTCACATCGTATATATGAAATCATTCGAAAATCATATAAATAGATACACAAAAAAGAAAATAAGGATTTTGTTTGCGTTAGTGACTATACTTTCTAATGTTAAACGGTTGTCTCTTCCGATATAATAGTAATAGATAGAAGCCACGTTATTTTAGTCTCGAAAAAAGCAGATCTTTTTTAATATCTATTGTTTCTGTTTTTATACTATATGGTTTATGTGCTCTAGATTGCAAGAGTGTCAGATAAAACTCTATAGAAAAAGACAGGTTCGGTCGTTTGTCAAAAATCTACTGTTTCTCCAGCAAGTTTTCATTTTAATTAGAAAAGAATAAATCAAGGAGGAAAAGCGAATCCTAGAATTCATTAAGATTTAGAGCATCGTAAAAAACAAGTCTATCAAAAAGAGAAAAAGTGAATTCCAGATTCTAATGGATCTCATATGAATTGACCACTAGAATTCTCTTCTTTCTGTTTGTTCTAAACAGAACTGATTTAATGGGAACGATGAATGCTAAAGAAGGAATATCCTTCTGAAAGCAAATAGTCTTCCTGTCGACAAAAATCTCTCGATAAAACATTTGTTTCAAATTAAAAATTGTTGATGTGATTTCCGACAAACTTCAATTTGTACAGATAGTATATTTACTCTCTCACTCTTATAGTTAACATTTCTTTATCCCAGATAATAAAATCCTATTATAACTTTCCTTTCAAATTAATATTATTCTTTATTAAAATAGCTTCGAATCCAAAAGAAAAGGCAAAAAACAATGTTGCGAATAGCGTTATTATCTTTAATATTATTCGTAACATTATCCTCAATATCAACATCAATTATACGTAAAACACGTTTACGCCGACAATTTGATCCAGAATATTGTCATGCTATTGAAGGTTTCGAATGTAAATGCTCATATTATCGTGTAATATGTACTATTGATGATGAATTGCCATCACCAATAAATATTTTAGACGACGAAAAACAGAAATATAAATCAGTTGAGTTAAGTATAAGAGTTGTACATGATATTATTGTTAATGATCATACATTTGAACCGATCAAAGAGTTATACAAACTTGATGGAGATCATTTAGAATTTCGTATTAAATTTGAAAAATTTACTGCACTTAATTTATCATCATCTGGAATTTTTAATCGAGTATTTCCAGATAATTTATCACAAAATGCACGAAAAAATTTGGTAAAACAAAACGAATCAAAATAATTCTTTCAAATTTTTTTGTCTTTATTTCTTTTTAGACATTAGAAATTTACAATCCACTAGTTTCACCAAGTGATGATTCAAATTTATTTCAAAATTTAAATGCAGATCAATTGGAAGTTTATGTATTATATCCATTTCATGGTACATTTCAACAATTATTTAATGGTTCCAATATCAAATACTTACGTATGAGTGGTGGTGATATTCGCTCTGATGCTTCACAATCATTTACAGGCAATATTGGTCGTTTAGAATTAGCTAAACTAGCTAGTGCATTATCCGTACAAAATTTTCCTGTTTATCCAGCACATGAATTTATCATAAATGCATTTTATGTAACTGATTTTAATCATGAACATCCACCAAATTATGTTAATTTAGCTGAAATACGTGTTTATAGTCTTGAACGTATACCTGCAAATGCTTTTCGTCGATTTCCTAATATACATACTTTATCAGTTGAAACTGATGGAGATATTGATCTACATGCATTTGATGGTTTAACTCATTTAGAAAAATTAACAATTAAAAGTGAAAAACTAAACTTAGATATTTTCAATAATTTACCAAATCTTAAAGAATTTGAAACAAATGTTGAAGAATTAGATGAAAAAACACAATGTAAATTAGTTGAAAAATTAGCTGATGGACAAGTTGCTGTTCAAGGTAAAATTTTATATAATAGAAAAATAAAACTTAGAAATATCTTTTCTTGTTTTTCTTAGCTATTTCAAATAGTTATGGATGTACATGTATATTAGCTTATTTGGACACAGCTGCGGGACGAATACCATGTGATGCACAACATTGTGAAAATTCATCATGTGATACAATTAAAAATAATTACAATGCAAACACAAGTACATTTAATGTTCCACCACCTATCCAACGTTCAGATGGTACAGATGCTTTACGTGAACATAAACCACGGGTGTATACCGTACCATTTCAAGTACCATCTCAAGATCAAGAAAAGTTTCAACAAGGCACATCACAACAACTACTAGAAGCTGATCCTCAAAGACCTAATGCTGATGAACAAAATCTATGGGAATCAGATGAATCTTATAATCCTGAAAGTACGTTAAATATACATCGAGATATTCTATCAAACTTTCGCAGCTGTAGGATGCGGCTGTGGGTGTGAATATTATGTTCGTCTATCACACGCATACCCGCACCTAAATACTAAGGACGGGAATCGGGTAACTATATGTGTCAATATGATAATTGGTACGGCGAAACCAAACCGTTTGAAATAACTGAACTGATCGGTTTTTGTCAGTTTTCATCGGTTGAAAGAAATTCTTACAGACATGTCATTGTTCTTCGATAAAACATATGGACAATAAGATTAAAATCTCTTGTCACAATATAGACACGCAGTACTGTTACGAAAGCTATTAGTTTTTTGCTTCCCTTTATCGACATTTTTTTCTTATTATTTTAATCGAATTATATTTGCTCCTTAAAAGTTACAATTAAAAGCATAGATAGAACTGATTTGACATTTTTGAACACTGACAGTCTGTATGTAGAATTAATTCAGAACGTAAATGCGTCTATATCTATATGTACTTGCTAATAATACATTTTTTTCAAGTGTTAAGTGCAATAGAAATAGTAAGTCCTAACATGCAATGCGTAAACGATGGATAATTTTTATTGTATCTGCAAAATCGAATTGTATTTCTTCTATTCAATTCGCTAGCTTGTGGATAGCAATTCTATTTTTCATATAGTATAAATACCAGCGTTTAGTGTCTGAGAAAGTATACATTATCATTCATTACAACGTAATATAAAAGGAAATGTCATTCTTCATTATTGTTCTGCTTGTAGATTTGGATTCTTGGTTTGAACAGGATTCATGTTCAGCTGGCAAATATCTTTATGAAGGTCAATGTATTCTATGTACGCCTGGCTACTATTGTCCAGATGGTAAAAGTCGCATAACTTGTCCATAAGGAAAGATTGCTCCTGGATACGGATTCTCAGTTTGTCAAGAGTGTCTTGAAGGATGGTATTCAACACGCGATACACAGGAAACATGCTTAATGTGTCCGAAAGGTTTTTATTGTCCAATAAGCAACCAAGAGCCACAAGCATGTCCCGTTGGATATTATAGTCACTATGCTGCCACCGAGTGTACAAAGTGTCCTCCAGGATATTATACGACCTATACAAATTCAAGCTATTGTTTTCAATGTCCAATGGGCTACTCCTGTACGGATCCAACCCAGTGCCCACAGCCATGTCCAGCTGGAACGTATCAACCACATATCATGTCCACATCGTGTGAACCATGTCCTGATGAACATCAATGTGGAACTACTACAAATCTCATTCAATGTACAGCAACGTCGTGTATTCAAGCAGAAGCATGGTCATGCGACCAGAGTCGATTGGGTCCTCCAGCATCTGTTTGCACAAATATGGGTTAAAATCTTGAGGGTATGGGTGTGAGTGTGAGTGCTTTAATCATTCCACACTCACACCCACCCGTTAAATTCTGCACAACATTATATGATTTCACATTTAATTCTTCCTATTTTCTTTCTCATTTTTTTCCTTCTTTTCTATGATGTGGCCGGATTCATTATATGCGATCATTTTTATCAATAATCTAGAACTTCCTTCTTCGTCACATTTCATACAATTTTTCGTGGATATATCTATTCACCTAATGCAGCATTTTAATCTGAAAAATGTATCACAATCACTTTTAATATAAATTCTACAGAAATAAACGTAATTAATCGATTCATTGTATTCATTATAGTCTTCACAGGTTTTGTTTTGGCTCTTTTAAGAGGAAGTCCACCAGATGAGACTCCTAGCCCGCCGGGGAAATTTTCTTTTTTGGATTTAACATTGTAAATGAAGAGAAATTCGCTTTAGCTTGTTTTCTGAAGTAAACACAGGTGTCCACCAATCTGCTTCAAGTAATCTTTCCCAATCACCACGGCAACGAATGTCGAAGATGAATGTACGAAGATTGGGACAACATGACAATAGAAGTTCAAGAAATGTACTACCAAACTCAGTTCCAGAATCATTATCTTCTCCTAAGCTGAGTTTCTTCATAGGTATAAGACCCATACCGGCCCGAGTAGGCAACAGAATAGAAGAGGCTGTTGTATTATCTCTCATTGAATGACCGTAAAGTTTTGCTGAAAAGGAACGAAGTTGAGAACATTGATCCAAAAGTTTAATAGTCAAGATAACATGAAGTTTGTTCATATGTATGTAGAGAAGAGATGGAAAATGAAACATTCATACATTGTCCAGAATCTGTAATTTTTGATCAAATATATTTTCATGTTGGTATAATCGTGGAAGAAAAGGACAATATTGGCGAAATAAAATCATCGCGAGTTCATTATTACATTCGAATTCACTACAGTTGGCATTAACAGTGAGCGAAATAAGAGTCGCAAATGATTCGAAATGTTTCGCAATATTCAATGCATCTTCGTACGGATTATCATATGTCAATTGAAAATGCTGAACTTGTTTGAATTCTTTCAGAGGAAATTCCTAAAAAAAGGCACTTTATTTCTATTTTCAAAGAAAGTAGTTTAATTTTATTCATTAGCAGTGCAATCTAGTCTGACGAGGGAACTACCCGAGGTTCTAAAAAGCTTTTCGGCTGAGGATATGATGGATAGGTAGGGTATAGCTAGCAGTGCTCTAAGAGTGTGGGTATGGCTGCCACGACAAAAGAGTGCCGAGGGTGTAACACCCCTTCCTAATCGTCAAAAATTTCCGCTTTTCCCAAGTAAAATCCAGGGTGTGGGTGTGGGCGTGATTTAAGAGAGCCCACCCCCACCCCCAAAGCCACCCACCCACACTCCACACCTATCCACACACCCACACCCACACCCAAACTAAAAATATTCCATTTTAGAATGGGTGTGGGTGTAGGTATAGATTTAGAAAAGGCTAACGCACACACTACTCACACCCACATCCATTTATGCTTTCTCTTTCGATAGATTATCTTGAAACTCACCCTACACTCACCCTCACGAAATTATAAGCTACTTCGATGGGTTTGATACAAAAGCGAATCCATATGCCCGAATCCAAAGGGTGTGGGGTGTAGTTCTTCTCTTACGCCTAACCCACGCCCGTACTCGCACCCAACCGCACTGACACCCACACCCACACTCTTTGGTGTTGTTACAGTGGGGCGTGATCAATATCATGAAATTATATCGAGAATCACGAAAGCACTGGCGAAAAAATCTCTTCCACTCGACCATGTATCTAATTCATCCCTAAAAGCACAGACCTATTTTGTTCATTTTCATATCGCATTATCACTTAATATGTTCGATGCGGTCGAAGTGAGACAATACAAATGATCAATAATGATGTCATTGAATGGTTGAATATCAATATAGGAATCATTAATCATAAATAAGAAATCTTGAATAGTGAGAAAATTTGAAAATCAATATGATAGAGAAATAAATCGATGGAGAGAAGTGTCAGTTGGTGATCTCCGAGTATTTGGATCGCGAGCTAGGAATTTTCTATGTGCACTGCTTGACTCTTCGAATTTCAGACAAGCGTTTACTCTAAACAGTGACTAAAAGATGCATTGAAAGGCTAATGATAAAAAAGCCATATTCTGAGACATAAACCTGTTATTCACACTTGTAAGCCGAAAAAGTGGTATGGATTAGACCCTCATTTTTTGTATTTTACTTGGTCTGGCGTCACGATATCATCTCGCTTTAGCACTAAAATATGTGAATGTGCATCGCAGTCGCTTATTTATCTTAGAAATTGTGATTTTAATATTTACTTGAAAGATTTCTTGTTTATGAAGACGAATAAATGAAAAAAAAAGCGGTACATATTAAAATAATTCACACCATTTTTTCATCGCGATGCTGCAGACGGATGATGATGTTTTTTGGTGAAATAACAGTTACTTCCTCAAGTTGATCAGTTGCTCGATATGTTTGCTCACCACAATCAATAATTGAATAGGTTTTCAGCAAGCGTGCAAGAACTAATTTCATTTCCATCAATGCAAATCGCATGCCAACACAACTTCGTGGTCCAATACCAAATGGAATCCATGCGAGTGGATGTCGTTTTGTAGCAAATCGTTCCGGATAGAATGTGTTCGGATCGACTGGACCCCAAAGATCAGGATCAAAATGTAAGGTGTACATATCAATACTGACAATAGTACCAGCAGGAATGGTTCCAAAATTGTCGATCTGAAAATCTTTGGTGCTCTGTCGATTAATGACACCTGGTATAATTGGGTACATACGAAGAGTTTCTCGGATGAACATATCTAAATAGTCCATTTTCGAAATCATTTCATAGCTCGGGATTTCATTATCTGTATCCGGATTGAAATAAGTATCAATATCCTCTTGCAATTTGAGTTGTTCATCTGGATGAGTCGCAAGAACATAAGAAACATAAGCGAGTGCAGTGCTTGTTGTTTCATAGCCAGCAATCACTAGAAATGAATAGATAAAAAAAATGATTATTAAGAAGAATACAAATTACTCACTGAAGAGATAGATATTAGCAGCAATCTCATGCTTGGTAACCTTTCGCACAAGTGGTGTGTCGATCTCTGTGTCCGTATTACCACCCGTTGATGCTGGCTGATCCTATAACAATTATCAACGAAACAACGTTATGGATAGGATCACTGTTATTTGGATTTAACTCAAATCAGAACTACCATATCAAGCTATGAATTAGAAATAAGGTAGACAAGACGACAATATATGAACGAATGAAGCCACTGAAAATCTCGCATGCATCAAGGAGAGATGCCCATAATTTGGCTGTTCATAAGAAATTTGGGTGTTAGGAGGTTTCAGCATTTCTTATTAATGGCCATAAACTATAGTTTCTAAGCTTGTTGTCGTATATAATTTGAATCTCAAATAGTGATATGGATCTTCTTTTTTTGGGTCATTTTTAGGAGTCAAAGGTCAAGGTTTACTATCAATCTTGACCTTTGTCTCCTAAAACTGACCCAAAAAAAACAAAGAAGATCGATATCACTATTTGAGATTCAAGTTATATAAGACAACAAGCTTAGAAACTATAGTTTATGGATGTTAGCGTCGTGTTAATGTGGTGTTGGTGTCCTTTGAGAGTTCCTCTGATTTTCCCAAGTCCTTAACTTATTGGGTGCTAGTAGATGTTTGTAGAGTCAGGGCGTCGAGTTCTGTGTTTTGTTATACTCATTTGGGTGTTTGTAAGAAATTTGGGTGTTAGTGGGTGTTAGCATTTTCTATCAATAGTCCTTTCAGAGTGGTATTTCCATGTAAGCATATGTAATAAAAATATAAGATACGAAGATCGCACTACTTTTAAAAATGAGTTCATACGTGCCCACAACTTTTGTCTTCAGTGTATCAGACTTAAAATTTTATAACTAGAACAGATTAGTAGTTTGTATACTGCTGGTCTCTAGTATATGTTGTCATTTTTCTCATGAAAAATTATATTTTGAGAAAATCAAGAAAAAAAATTGAAATTTTTTTCAACCATACGTATATCACGACGTATGAGTGGAAAAGTCTTTAATAGCTTGATTAAAATTATTTGTGAAAGGTAAAATCAAATTATTTATAGTGCATATAGGTGTAATTGCTTGGTTTTCTGCATTCTATGAAGAGCTTCGATGCTTGTCATCATGATCATAGCGCACTTTTGACGTTTTTTTTGAAATGTGGATTTTTATAAAGAAATTTTGAAGACGGATAATTAGAGATGGTCCTTAAACTGGTCGGACTTTTCGTTTTCGATCAGTTTTTACAACAAACGATGAAGTGCTCCTTGTTTGCAATGAAGAAAAAGTTTGAGCAATATATTCTCCCATGCGTTCTCAACCAATTCCTGTAAACAGATCTTTCATCAGTCATATCTCTTCTCCGTCCTCTACTATTAGTAAAATATAAGGTCTCTTTTTTCGTTCAGATCCATAAGAAAATAGTCAATCCACTTTAAGAATCTATTCAGAAGGAAAATTTCTTTATACTTGAATGAAATCCTCATCTGATGCTGATTCCAGCATCAGTTGCAATAGATCCATTCGATTTGTATAACCCAAATTGACTCTTTTCTTGATCAATTCTTGTGCTTGTTTCTGTATCCATACGGCTGGCTCATCACTGATCAATTTCTGTGTTAGAGGCACATAATAGTGAAGTTGGCATCGAACAAAAGTATCAATT